CCCCTCCATTCCCTCCTCTAAATACAACTCATTTTCACCCTTCCTTATACAAAATATAGTCTAAAACCTATCCTCCCTTTGCTGCCATTTTCTTATCAGGAAATCCCTCCTCTAAATACTTCCATCTCTTTACTTAAATCTTCTTCCAAAACAAACCCAAGACACCTACTGTCTCCCTGAATCCATTCAGCCCTGATTCCCCCTCCTTCCACCTTGAGTTGAACCCTAACAGGATTAGTGGTTTGTGGTGGGTCAGGATTTTGGCTCTTTTTGGGTGTTGTGTTGGGGTTGTGAAGTGTATTTTGTCCAGGCCTCCAGGGGATGAATGGAATAAAGGGAGGGTTTTATTTGTTTAATAAAAGGCTTAAAAGAAGGAAAACAACAACAAACAAAAGGTTTTATTTTACACACTCTTATTTTCTGCCAAGGCTAAAATAAGAGTAGGAAAAGCTTTATTTTGAAATGAATTAAATGGCAAGGAGTTTTGGATGCTTAGGGTTGGGTTGGACGGAGTGGGATTTGGTCTGCAGAAACCTTGGGTCCGAAGTTATTCAGGCCTCGGTTGAAGGACGTGGAATTCTCACTAAAACGGATCATAATGTTTGAACGTAAGTCCTTTGGTTTTTGCAAGGGTGTAGGACATGGGGGAGGGTATGATAGGGCCAGGACCGGGTATAACATCCTCCCGGTCTTTAAAAGAGTTTGTCCTCAAACTCAAAAGATCTTCAAAATCCTCGTACGGGGTAAGATTTCTTTGATGGAACGTGGCAGTAATTTTTAGGCCTCGTGTAAGATCAACCGCGTAGGAGTTTTTGTGAACCTTTGCCAACACTTCAAACGGGCCATCGTCTCGGGGTTGTAGCTTTGACTTGGGTTTATTAAATATACGCGCCTTATGAACGTGAACCCATACTAGGTCGCCGGGCTGAATGAACCATTTCGAGTCACGACTCTTCTCAATCCTCTCTTTATACGGGACCTGCAAAAACTCAACAAACTCAACACGTTTGGTACAAGGTACCGTTAACGAAGATAGGTCTCCAGCGGAGGTTTCCGAGTCAGGAGTGACGACTTCCTCGTGGGTCTTCTCGTCTTGCTCTTCTTCTTTCATCTCTGTAACCCAAAACGGGTTATCCTCTGCGTCTTCAAACACTTCTTCATTCTCTTTGACAAGTTCTTCATCCCAAATGGGATTATAGTCCTCGTCATCATATTCATCCCAAATGATCTTTGGGGTAGTGGGCTGCATGGTTTCGGTAGTTTGAGAGGAAGGTAGTTCGGACTTAGAAAATTGGGGAGCAAAGGTGGGGGTTGGAACCATGAAGAAAGATGACTCTTCAAGGGTACTCTTGGGGGTTTGTGGTAGGCTTAAAGACACGACTTTGGGAACGGATTGGGGTGGGGGCGTTGGACCGGAGTTGG